AGCGAACGCAGAAGCTGTGACAGGTTCGTTTCCCTGTTGTATTCGCATTTGTGTTTCTGCAGACTTACCGCTGCATTATCTCATAGTGATTCCACTGATAAGGCAAATTCCCATCCCTCCTCTGCTTTAGCCTGCTTGACGTTTGGCCTAATTGTGTGCGCGCTCGGCCCCGGCCCGGGCCCCGAGATGGGCTGCCTGCTTTCATTTGGCCAGCGCTGACTGAGAGTCGATACGTTCGCAGCAGGTGAGGGATGGAGGTGAGGGGGACCCTGACAGTGAAGGGGGGGAGAAAATACGACGACGATGTGGTCCCTAAAGGTGCGACGGGTGGGGCGGCTCGGCCCCGGCTTTGATGGAGAATTGCAGTAGCGTGAATGGATGTGACGCTTAAACGACTGGCCGGCGGCGAAGTCTTAAGGAGTCGCTGCTTTCGTCCGTCTTCCCCCCTCTGGGTTCTGCTGCACACAAAGGCGCGTGTAGTTGATTGAATGATTCACAAGCCGTCCGCATGAATATATGGATATCCTGTTATTTTGTGAAGAAAAAAGCAAAGGGAAGGTTAGGGGGACGGTGTTATATGACATCGTTGTAGAATGAACGTCTCTTTTCTCCAGCGGAATAAATATCAAAAGAGTCGTCTTTCAGCGGCTTTCGGTCAAAGGAAACCGTAGCTCTCGCAGCGCGGATGGAAGCGGCGCGGACCACAAGTTAAAGTTAAATGTTAGCGACCTCGGCCGACCTCGTGCTGCAGCTTCATCCTCCACAAGGATCTCAGAGACCTATAGTCCGTCACGTGATCCGCAAGCACAAATGTTTCTTTGGTGCCGGACGGCTTTTCATGTTGAATCGGTGCAACAAAACCACACAAATACCCCTCCTCCTCTGGTCACTACATCCACCTTCTTCTTTATCAGTCTGTGCTCTGAACACCCACAGACACACACGCTTTGACTACATCCTGAAGCTGAAGGCAGTGCGGGGATACAATTCGCAGCTCCTGAATTCCTCGTTGCTTTATTCGAAGGCAAAATACTGTATAGCGGAAGCCAATTAGAGCAGGATCTGTGCTGTTAGTGAAAGGCCTTCACAGAGGTCAGTCCTTGAGAACGGCATTAGGTGAAGCCTGCGAAATGGAAAAGTGCGGTCAGCCGTTCCTCTTGTCTTGCCACTGGCCTTGTGTGATATAGGATGATAGGAGCTGACCTACACATCAAGAAGAATGTACACAGCATTACCCAGAGAGAGCTTCACAGATCTTTTTTTATGTACCACCCACCCACTCGCTCTTTTTTTTTTTGGAGGGAGGTTGGGGGGGGGGCTTAATCATTAACTAGCCTTGAGTTACTTGCGTGACACAGCAGGAATCAATTCTCCTCCTGTATAATTATACCATCATTTACCCAGATCGTATTGAATGGAGCGTTTTTATGGAACCGGGAGCCACCCAAATGCATATATGGATCTGCTTTTCATCACTTTTGTTCATGTATAAGCACACTGAGGAAAGTACAAAAAAAAATAAGAAGACTTTGAAAAGAAGAACTTCAGTGATCAGTCTGCTGAAACTAAAATAAATGTGTGATTCAGGGTCTGTCAGTGAACTTTAACACCAACGCTGAAAGATGCTAGCATTCCAAAATTGACTTGCTGCTCATTTTATACACAGACTCACAACTAGTTTTTTAAGTTGAAGGGTTTTCTAGAAACTTTAGATTCCTGTTTTTAGCAATTTATATGAATCTAGAAAACAGCTGATTATGGTGAAGTCATAGCATCTTTAACACTGGCATTAAACAAATCTAAATTGCTGCACTATTAATGCACTTATTCTAGAAATAGTAATCTATAATCATGATCAGCTGATACCCTGCTTTTTAATATTTAAATGCAATTTAGTAAATAAAAAAGTTTTTCTTTTTAAAATACAACGACCAGGTTTATTGGGACCTGATGGGTTTTTGTCCTGTCATGATCCCAAACACCTGACAGACAGAAACCAGGGCACATCTAGCATGTGAACACTGATACCAGTGACTTTTGTGCCCAAATTGAACTGCAGCTGTAAATTCAGAATAGGATTTAGAATCCCAGTGGGGGGTTAAAAAAAAAAAAAGTGCTATTTTTTCCATTTTCTTGCAGCCCCATTACTTTGTCTACATCAAAACTTCCAAATCAACAACCCAGCTCACTCTTACATTTTTCATGCTTGCAGCCCCTCCTCATCTTATTGAGAAACCCCTCGATGTCCAGAAGCTCATTGATGACTCGATGGTGTGGGAGTGTAAAGCCACGGGGAAGCCGAAGCCGTCTTACAGATGGATGAAAAACGGAGAGAACCTGGAGCCTGCAGAGGTGAGATCTGCCAAGTGCTAGACCTGAAGATAAAGTTCCTTTTCCAAGGTTAGACTTTCAGCATGCAGCTTTGGCACAGATGTCTCTCGCACACTGTGGTGCTGCTGAATGAAGAATGGGGGCAACCATGTACTGTATTTTCAAAGCTTTTATTGCGCTGCTTGTTCGAGCTTTACTGACTAATTACCGTGCATTATTGTCTTCTTCATTACAATGCAGTGCCTCCTGAGCAGTAGTACATTATGTTTTCCGCTTCTGCAAAACAAGCTTTTATTTCAAAGGAATTAGACTGTGTCTAGTGTGCTTTGCTGTGCTACGAGACTGAGCTGTAAACAGGCCAAGTATTTCATGGTAGTCTGGAAAGCACGGTGATGTAAGAGCTGCCCTAATCTTCACTTAAATCTCTCCTCACCAAGTGCAGTTATTAATCCTGTGCCACCAAAGACGAAAAAAAGTACGATTTTCGGTATAAACACTGTATATTCTCCTTTAATTTCGCCTCCCTGTCTCCTCTGAATTTCCACCGCTCTGATGAGAGATGAGCCTATTACGACTCCAGCCAGCCGACTATCTAACTTTAACTCGGCTCTGTTGTTGGCATTTGGAAAAAAAAAGAAAAAATTATGATTACTTTATTATTCATATTGGATTATTATATCAGATCCTTTAGCCAGGTTGTTTGTGAAAGATTGATTGGACACTCAGGCACAGCTTGCACCTGATAAATAAACAGGCATTATGTTAATTTGCTTCATTATGCAAGAAAAAAATAAAAAAGGCGACAAACACACCAGAGGATATCGATCAGTACTTGAATGTTGTACATGCGGTTTGGAATGAACCCAGTCTGTCGTTATGACACCAGAGGCAACACTCCACTCAGCTTCTTTCACATAAAAAAACAGATTTGGCTCGCTATCAGGCAAGAATAATCAACAATCTGTTTAGCCAATGGCAAACATATTCACCTCTTTTAAGGTACCGCTCTTGTGCTTGTTAACTATATTGTTGGAGATGTTTTCTTATTAGGCAATTTCCTAAAAATAGTTCATATTCATCTCAGGAGGTTTTCTTAACGTGACCTCACTCCCACTCCTTTCTCATTTCATTGTCGGTTGAGTACATTCAAATGCCTCCTCAAAGATAGGCAAAGCTTGCCACCGCACCTCGCCGTCGTCGTCGGGAGGTGATACGAAGGAGTGGATGCGTGATTAAAGGTTACACTGATGGTGGCGATGTTTTTTTTGTGAGGGGCCCCCGTTTCCTCCTCGACATAGACACGCTGTAATAAATGGATATATTCAGAGTGCATGGGCGAATGGATTAATCAGCCAAGGTGTTACATTGTTTGAAATGCCACCATTAACCACAGCGGCTTAATGAGTGCAAGAGGGAAAGGTCAATGATGTAAGAAGCAGTGGGGAGAGGATGCACCATTTATTGTTGTTTATTACAGTTAATCAATTGAGGCCTTTTCTGATTGTGTCGTGTTCGCTGGAGCTTCTTCCTGTTTTCTAGTTTTCTTGCTTTGAAATAGAGTCATCACTTTAGAGACATATACACATCTGGAGGACCACATAGGTGAATATATGTCCATGTCAGTACATAAACGCTTCAGAATTCCAATTGTTTGTAGTGTTTCTAATAACAGTAACTCAACGATCTTTACAATTCTTGGGCCGTTCGTGTGCTAACCTGTTTCCTTGGCGATGCCTTTTACGACCTCCCCGTGTCAAAATAGCAACGCTTTATTGGAACGTTTCTTTCTTCTCGTGGCTGTTTTCATCTGAAGGACCTCACTTCTCCACCGCTTTATTGACAATAGCTGCAGGATTAAGTGGCTTTGCAATTAAAAGGAAAACTCCACCGTGAAACAGGATTTAGTCCATTTAGAGGCGTATGGGACCGCCGTACCAGATAGCTCGCTCGAACTTACGTAATTCCTGCAAAAGCCTTTGAATTTCAGGAATGAAATGGCATTTTAGACCCAATACAATCTGAGCAAGTGAGGAGAGATGGTTGGAATTCCTTGCTTTCCCTGCTCATTCAAGCTCAAGTGAAGAAAAAAAAAACAGGCTCAGCTTAAAGTTTTTTTTACTCGTTATTGCAAAGCCGAGAGCTCATTCATGTCGGCTGCTTCCTTCTTCTCACTCAGGCACTTACTGTAAATTGATCATACATCTGTGACTAGAATTAGCAGATTTCTTTTTACTCTGTTGAGCGGTAATAACTTCCTGGTCGTGACATTTTCTGTTTTCTTTTTTTATCAAAGATCAAGCTTATGAGATTAAATTGTGTTTAGTTTCTTTTGCGTCGTTGCATTTGAAAAAGATAATAAAAAAAGATCCCCCTTTTTACTTAAATCCCCAGCAGTGGATTGAAATCGTTATAATATAATAGAAAATGTAGCTTGTTTCAGTTTTACAGGTGTTTTGCATCATTCTCACAAATCGGGGGGAACAGAGCCGTAGACAGCAATCAAAGCCAAGAAGCTCAATTTTCTATAAACCGCTCCATCCTTTTAGTGTTTTGCAGTTTCATATCAAACGAATCAAGCCCAGTGTTGTTGGCAAATGACATTGCCAATCATTTTCGTTCAGCATAAGGCGTGCAGATGGTCCCCCCAGGTCCCCGCGTGAAAAACTGCTGATTTGAAAGGAACGTCATGGTTAATTAATAGCAGCCGTAAACGGGAGTGCTTCCCATGCGCAGACTGATATACGCCACCATTTGCCTCCCCCTCGCCGGCAGGGACGTTCGCCCCCTGCACATCCGGAGCCGCGGAGCATTTATGGAAATTCAGGCGCAACCTGCTCAAACACAGGATTAGTTTGTGATCTTTTAGTGAGGACAGTCTACCTTTTCATGTGACAGTACCTTAATCCCCTGCGACTGAGGTTCAGGCTGCTCCGACACTCCTATGGAAATTGACTCTAATGGCATTACGGGTGAGCCCGAGGAAAACAGGAAACGTCGGACACGAGGAGGCACAACCTGACGTGGAAAAAAAAAAGGCTGCTCAAGAATTTATTTTACAGTGAAGCAGTTGTGTAAATTTAGAGAGATAAATGTATATTGGGGATTAAATGTCCAGCTGATACACTGATCCGACTGAATTTTTAGTTCATCGGGCCCAGCCGTCCTTAAATAGACTTTAATTTGATGGCTCAGTGGTGAGCAAGATTTCCCCCGCAGGCTCGCAAAAAAAAACCACAATCCAAACAGATGAAGAGGAGGTACAGCATGACCATGTACACAGCGCTTAGTATGTATAGGGCATACCTATCGGAAAAGCAATTTTCACAATGCAGTGTACCTCAGATGTTACGATATTCCTTCCCCTCTTATCCCCTCCTCGCGCTGAAGGGGAAACGGGCCCCGTGGTGCAGTCAGAGATATAAATAGGGCATGGTTTTATTTCACTCTCATAAACATGTAGATTGATTAGGGTCATTTTCTGCTAGCCTGCCTCCATCCACCCAAGCCTTTCCCTCCATTAGCGATGAAAACCTAGATTTATTGCCACGTCTGTCACTTTCAGACCATAATTCACTGGCCCGCTGGTCGGCTGTTTTCATGTAGATGAGCGCTGGGAATAAAGTGTATTAAAGGCTCGTGTCTCTGTGTCCGCAGGAGCGCGTACAGGTGGCCAATGGAGTGTTGTCCATCAGTCGCCTGACCCTGTCCGACACAGGAATGTACCAGTGCGTGGCCGGGAACAAGCACGGCGAGGTCTACTCCAATGCAGAGCTGCGAGTTATAGGTAAGACGTTGTGCTTGTGTGGCACGGAGATTGTATTTGTTTTCAAGTTTGCCTCCGTCTTCTTCTTCCCTCAATGCCGCCGAATGACCTCCGGCCTCTCTCTCATTGGCCGCTAATTGAAAAGCATTAATTATAAGATGAATGCGTCCGGCTGACAGTGATGTATGCCAGAGCGGCTCTGTTCACCAGCCTCGCCCATCTGCCCACGTCAGGCTTGTCACTCTCCACTCGGGGCTGGCTCTCAGTCACAATTCAACCTCCAACATGTCTCGTCCTGATCACGTTGCTGATTGGAATCAGGCTCAGGACGGCCACGGGAAACCGCTGGCCCAAGGTGGAGAACGCCAGGGAGGCGTGGGACAGCTGCACGGCTTTTGAAAAGGGCACATATTTTTTAAAGTGGTTTATAGTCGGGGGGGAAAGTTATTATGAAAGAATGATCACAGCGAAAAAGATTCACATGCAGCCCGAATGAGAATAACTTCCATCAATCTCCACAACTCCACATTAGTTGTGGGCATTACTATGCAGCTTCCTGATTACCAGTTATTCACATTATAAAGAGCCGTAATCACGCCTTTGAATTATCCACGGCAATAATTTAATGTATTTATGAACCAATTTTGCAAAATGGCGGAGAAAAAAAATATAATATGAGATAAACGATCGGACGTAAATTGGAGGAAAAGAGGATGTGAGGCTTTTTTTTGCAAACACCGGCTTTAACATTCTGCTCTTGTCTCAGCCGTTGCCCCAGATTTCTCTCACAATCAACTGAGGAGCCAGACGCTGGTGAAGGTAGGAGGAGACGTGCTCATCGAGTGCAAGCCCAAGATGTCTCCTTGGGGTGTGATCTCTTGGCGGAAGGGCAGCGAACCGCTCCGAGAGAGTAACAGGTAACACGGCATTCGCGCAGCTCGTTCTGCTTTTATCTCGCTGTGAGGACTGCTGGACTCCTTCCCCGCATGCATGTGTTGTCGGTGCTTTTAGCCGGGCGGAGGTCTCAGCAGAGGCGTCCCACGCTGAAGAACACTCGCTCCTTCCAGACCCGACGCCTTGTTCGCGTTTGGATGTGTAACTTCCCATTTAAGTCATCCACAATCTGGCAGCTTGACACAAACCCTTCGACGAAAACTATTTCCTCTAAACCTTTAAAGGGAAAGTCCGCTGATTTTACAGAAGAGGGTCAGTTGAAGTTTGACCTCCCAGCCTAATTTTCAAGGAAAAACTTTACGCCGATGATGTCATAGTTTGACTAGGTGATCATAGTTATCTAAGTTTGTGTCTGAAACTTTAAGTTCTTAACAAAAACATCTGCTTTTGACAAACAAGGTGTAGAGGTGGTCCAAAGATGCTATCAAAGAAGAATATTTGGAGCTAATCAGGATAAGTCCTCCTGCTTTAAGTGCACCAATTTGAAGGGAAATGACACGTGTTTTTAAGTATTTTTAAATGAAATATTAAGCCCACAAAAAGATATATTGTAAAATCAATAACAGCCCAGCAGCACTCTCAGGCAAATTAAATTATTTATCTTGTTGCTCTGCTACAAAATAATTGAGCACGAGTGGACGCTCTTTTGTTGCTCCGTCAGAGTTTGGGGCGAATCTACCTCTCGACTTCACGTCGTTGCAGGAATTCAGAATTTATAATGCAGGAAGTCTCGCTAAGACTGTTTAATCCTCAAATAGTCGGGAGCATTTTTAAGAACTCGAAATTACTGTATCAATGCAACTGCTCTGGCTCGAGGACTTTGCATGCGCTAAATAAATAATGTACACCAAATGGCTCCAGTCACTGTGGCATATTTTGCTGCTATATTTCCACTGAGAGGTTTTGATGTACTCCTCAGATGTGCCAAACTCGGCTAAGAGAAAAAACAGCATGGAGCCTAACTGAGTAATGTTTAATGGGGTTTACCGTGTTTTATCTCCAGCTTTTTAGCGGTGGCCAAACAGACCAGCTGCTGAGTCAATTCAAAGTGCTAATCAAGTACTTTTCACCTCAGCGGGGATGATAAAAAGCTCCAGAAATCAAATTATTCAACTTCTGACACGTTTCCAAGTTTCTAAAGGAACAGAGGGCAATCTCAGCGTCCAGCCGTGTTTGACCCCCCCTCCCGAGATGCGATGTGTGCTACATGTGATAACTTCTGCTGGTGTTTGTGCGCGTCTGTCTGAATGAAGTGTGAAGTCTGGCCCAGTAGCCTCAGTGGAGACAGGGGTCACCCATTGGGTGTCACCACTCTAGCATGACTCCGTTCTGACAGCAGGCCTGTGTGCACAGTGTCTTGCCAGGCTTTTGCATATATACAAAGCAGTGTTGTTGCTTGTCAAACAAAGTGGCGGGGAATTTGCATAGTGGTTTCGCTGCTGGTGCCCTTCACTCGCCCTGTGCCACTTCCATCACGTGTCTGAGCCTCGCAGCAACTTGGACCTTTCTGATTCTGTTGTTTGGGAGTTTAGATTGATTCCTACCATTCGTCTCGGGTTTGACGTGAGCTAACATCCTCGTGAAGCGATGAATCAGACGGGAGCGTCCGTTTCAAAGACGCTTTGTTTTCCTTCACTGTCTTCACTCATTCCTACTTACAAATGACCAACTGCTGCGTTAAATAATGAACGGTTGAAGATTTAAATCATTCAAATGTAATTAATGAATTACTCTTTAATAATTAAAACAACAGAACAGGTTTTTCTTGCTGCTGTAAAATATGGATTTGCTGTTTAGCTTACGTCTTTAGCGCGCTAAGCGTCCTGATACGGACAATTAGTAGATGGATTTCTTCAACGCTGTCTTTGTTGTGGTAATTTGAAAATCTGTGTGATGTTCGGCGATGTGTTTTAATGCTTTTTACTCGCGCTAAATAAATGATATTTGGCTCAGACCACCTGTGCCACTGCTCCCGCAAATTAAAAAGAGAAGAAGCGCAGATTTGAAATTAAAATTCAAACAGTCCCAGCTGTATTACATTAAAGGGGAATTTTTATTTTATTTTTTATTTTTTTGCCATGATCCCAGACTTTATTACCAGTTAGATCGCAGAGTAACTGTTTACAGAGCTTGAAAACACATGCCAGAGCCTTTAAATGTGCTGATTACGACTCCTCTTCCCCCTACTCTCTTTCCTATTATCTCCCTTTTTCTCTCATCTGTGACTGTGACATCCGCACACACAATAAAAATGTTTAGCATCTGCTGTGGAAATCATTAGAACAGTTGTCTTTTAAACGGCCGCCCGCTAATAGCTGTCCTGCCTGTAGGTCGACTTGTTTGGAAGAGACTTTGGTGAAGGCGGGGAGGAGAGGGCACTGAAACAAACGAGTGGATTGGAGCAAAACGTCGTCCCCGGTTTCACACATTTGACGTACAAGTTGGTTGTTGTTCTGTACAATATGAAGCCCACGTAGAAGGATTTGTATGCAGCCTGCCTATACGTGCGCGTCTGAGCTGGTCTCCTCAGTTATGCACCTGTACGGAAAGGTGCGAAATCATAAGAGGTAGCTGTGAACCCCTTTTGTTCAAGATTAATTGCCGTAATTGCGTTAGCGCTCTACAGTGGCTTCGGCAGAAAGGGAACTAGTGTCACCAGCTGGGTAATCCATCTTCATAGCAGCAGCCCCATTTTTTTTTTTTTTTTCTTTCTGCAGGAGCCCAGTGGAGGGAGGGAGGGAGGGAGTGAGGAAGGGAGGGAGGGGATGTCTTATCTACCCCAGACAACCCTGCAGGGACGAGGTTTAGATGACATCAGCTGGAACAAAGCAGCTGAGAGCGCAGAGCGGAGCAGGTCTTGCTGATGAGTGTGTAAGTGGGCCGTGTCAGCCGTGGAGAGCAGCCCCGAAAAACACGGCATTTCAATATGTCACTCGCAGGAAGAAATCAAGTTTGTTAGGCCGCTCGCGCCAGACGCACTCCATCAGCCGTCCCTCTGGCGAGCGGCCGCAGGACGCTCCGACGGCCCCGGCGCTGCTCCCTCTTGCGTTAAACGTCGTCTTTTTAAAAGAAGTATTTATCTCTATCGGCTTTGGCAGTCATGCAAATATTTGAGCGGGATCTTTCATTCCTTTCAAGAAGGTGTTTACCCCCAGAGGGAGGCTTTAAAGCGCTTTGGGTGTGGCTGGGACAAATCCCCCCACTTTTGTTTTCAGGCTGCGGCGTGTTTCCTCGGCTGCACAGCGGATACATGTGTCTTTGTTGTTGTGTGTTTTGGTGCTAACTGCAGAAGAAGAAGGTAGAATGTTGGAGTGTTGCTTCCTATTTTTTTTTTCTTCCCTCAAATTTAAGATATATAAGTTGTTTTGTTGTTGTTTTTTTTCCATTTCTTCTGCACCTTTTCCTCCTCTCCCCCAGGACCTGATGGACAGTCAGAATTTCAGCATCCTTTTAGTGAGCACAGTCCAAAAGGTCATACATCTAAAATAGGTTTGACATATGGCAATGTTATGCAAATGCTTTATGCTAAAATTTTTATTTTCTGTCATTGTAATGTATGATTTTTTTCTGGGTTATGCATCATACCTCGAGAGAAAAAAAAAGATATTCAGACTCAAGGGGAAAGAATATAAAAAAAACCTGCTGGTGGCTGGAATCCTGTGGAAGCAGAATCTAGTCCTTTGTGTGTATTGTAATCACTGAGGGGAGATGCCACTCCTAGAACAAAATGCACCTGGCAAAGTGCTGCCAAGTCAAAGTGCCGACTGGGCTCCTGTGGCGTCTGTAACTGCACACGGACGACATATATTGTATATTTTTTTAAAAACAAATTATGTATTGATTTTTTTTTTTTCCAAAATTAAAAATTCCAAATAACTCAACTGGCTGAAAATAATTGCTAATTAGTTGTATAATGACATTCACTGAAGGATTTCAGATTGAATAATAACTCATGAACATCTGGACAGACCCAAATAATAATAATAGTACTTGTTATATTCAGAAATTCAAATTAGGAGAAATAATATTTTCATTTAGGCTTAAAAACTTTTCTTTAAAAAAAAGAAAAAAGCCTACAATAAGTATCACTGGCCTGTAATGCTGATTTCTAAGCAGCAAACTATAGAAAAATTGTTTATTTAGTAGTTTGATTTGATTTAAATTTCACTTCATCCAACTGTGAATTATTATTTGTTGTTTTTATTCAGATTCAAAGCTATAAATTATGTTATATTTCATTTTATAATCAGCTTCTTCTTATTTACTCACAGTTTAAATATGTGAAATCTATTCACTGGTTCACAAATGAGCTTGTATTTATTTATTTTTTGTTTTATTACTTATTCTAGCAAAACTTCAGCCCAGAAACATTGTTCTTCCTCATTATTATTGTTAAAACTAAATGGATGTAGTCCTGAAGTACAGACCTGGCTTTAATCTGACGTCTCTCAGACACATCACACATTAAACAGCATTAGTTTGGTGCTTTTTTTTGTCATTTTTATGTGATAAAAGTATGTTTTTTGTAGAAAGTTAATGAATAAGCTAACAAATTTTCTCTATAACTTAATTTAATGAATCATGATGTGAACATTATATTGAAATAAAAGTTGAACTAGTTGAAACAAATCTTCATTACGCAGAGTTAAGAATAATATGAAGGTTTAATGTAAGTGATTAGTAAAGAAAAGTTTCTGCATTTTCCATCTAAGGAACAGAAAGCTAACCGAGTTGTCTTGTTGTGTACCGAATCACAGAATAACAAGTTCATTAACACTAAATAATACATGCTGTAGTTTTTACAGTGTTTATCGTTTATTTGACACCACTGTGTTTTCTCCAGACATGAGCTGTGATTCTTCTTCATTCTGATTTTTGATTGACCATCAGCCGACTATTTTAAAAGGCCGACCGTCTCAACAAACATGCATTATTTCTTAATCCATCAGTACACACTTATTGT